AAATGTGCAATTCACAACGTACACACGGTCCTAACCTAAGATTAATTGATCTTGTCTCGATTATTTTAGTTCGCGCTCCAGTGTGCGAACGGCCGAGAATGCATGCCATCTCAGAACTAAGCGGGAATTTCTGAATCAGCACCCTTTGGTTTACCACTTTGCTGCTGCCTGCTCTCATCAGTTTACTTGTTCTCATGATCCTCTACGATCAGAGCAACGCCTACAGTTCGACGGTTTTATTGACGTTAATTACTGCGTCGTATAGTTGTGTTCGTTCGTTAACACTGTTGAGTTGTGGGGTACATGGCGTCGTTCAACGTGCAGTGTCGACCTACGCCGACTTGAGCTTTATCAATTCTAGATAGTGCGAAGGGCGTCATGCATACGAACTCCTTTATGTGCAGACTTCTGCTGTCGATAAATGTGAGGTCAACCGGATTAATGTATTGAAGACGAAGATCCTCACCCTGAGTTTCTTGAAAGGAAATGTGTTTGAGGCTAATGGGCTAGTAGATTAGTGCACGTCGCCTTCATTCGACCCCATTAAAAATTTTTGGTCTGAAGCATATCCACCCAAAAAATTGGAGCGAGTGTGGACTTCTCTGTAAAAGTTTCCTTTTCCGTGGATATTAGATATTAACCATGTGTGGGGAAGATATTCACCGCCTGGAAGTGTTCGGTCTGTGGTTTGCATCAAATTCTGATAATTAATCCCTTCGATCGTGTCGCCGGCGGACGACTATAATGACGTTCAAGAAAATAACTGTGGTCTCCCTCTTATGGGACAAAGTCATCGGAAATGTCATCCGACCCTGACTGACTACCGCGTCTATTTGATCAACATTAGTTAGTAGCTAAAATGGATTGCACATCGGGCCCTCTAACTTACTGCCTGTGGCTGGCTTGGAACTTGGTTGAACTTAACTTTGGTTATCTGAAACTCATGGACTGCACTGGAAGGCAAAAATTTATGATGTGGCGCTTGCAATACCTTTTTTGAGTCGGCCACGGTAAGTGTCATCATGAATACTAAAGGCGACTGGTGGCGTTCAAGTATCAACAGGTTTTAATACCATAATCTACCTAGTGAACTTTCTCTACGAAAGTTCGATGCCTTTCCTTGTCTTTTGCATCGCGCTCACAGACGCTGTTTATCGGATGCTTGACACTGCAAAATAATAAGTATACTTGACTGAGCCTCCTCCCTGCTAGGTTGTGCTTCTTTCTCCCTAGTCTTCTTTTCTATGCGTGGTTTTGCCTCTAAGCCGTTACACTAAGGTCTGCTTAGGCCTTTATTCCCAACTAATTTAGCGTCCAACAGCATATACAGATGCATTTTTACTCTGCACGCTGAAACACCTGTATTGTGTCATTTTTATAGAAACTGGGTACATTTACAATTTTTTAAATCCTTACTCGAGATCCTTAACTCCTTTCAAATCAATAGCTTCTTTGAATGCCCCATCTATACAGGTCTGACCATCTCGTCGCTGTTAGGCATTACTCCGCTTTCTTTGCACTTGAAGATAACCGTATTATTACTGCCGTAATTTTGGCTTACAGTTATCATTGCATAAACTCGTGTCAGCTGCAGGTGATGTCAGGTTGCAAAGACCAGTTTTCATAAGGACAAGGTTCGAAGAAAATATGCAAGTCTTACGCAGTCTTTCTGCGGATAGGCTCCAGAGGGGTTTACTACAGGAAGGGACAGCAAAAAATTTCCATTTGTCAAAATTTCAGGGCCTTGGAACTGAGTTCTTGAAATAAATGCTTCATCAGCTTCGCCACTCTGTTTCGTAATGAGCCTTATTCGATCCTGAATTTGGTCCCTTCCTGATTCCAACTGTCTACCATAAACTTGAAGGTATTCTCATTCAAGAGCCCTTGTTAATGGTTTAGGGCACGTTGTTTCTTAAAGATATGCTGAATAATAAGCACCTACCCCGTAATTTGAAATATTATTTGGGTCGCTAACCCTGATCCGCAGTGCCCTCCCTATTTCCTGCTTTTCAGCAAAACATTTAACAGATAAAACCAACTTACAGTTTATATGCTGAAAAACTCATAAAAACTGCTCGTGATAATCATAGCCAATATCTTCCAGAACCCTTGTTCTGCACAAGTTAACAAAATGTTGTCAATCACTCCTTTCACAGCTTCTGGCCTACCTGGCATTTCATCAAACTCATGCTGTGAAAACTCATGACTCACTATCGACCCGGCTCCAAACTACCTCAGTCCTATGAAGAGGAGTACGGTGAAGATGATGATCTGGATGACGATGATGTCGATGGGTACGATTGTTTGAGCGATTATGACGAAGATTTGGAGTACACGGAAGGATCAGAGAAACGAGAATCCTACGGGCGATCCCAGCACTGTTGCGACGACTCGGGTAACTCCAAGTCAAGTAGCCGAACCGCAGACTTGCGGCGCCATCGCAGCATCAGCGAGGGCTGTCCTCGTGTGGTCGAGCCTTCTGATGACAACAGGTTTCGGCATACTTTTAGTCGTTTCTCTGTTTTTCATGGTGAACGGCAAATATTCCTACTTTAACTTCCCTTTTTTGTTTTTCAAAACAACTAAGCTAGCAGTATCTAACTGAAGCGAAATCACTTATTTATCTCGTCTCATAGTCACAGACATCCCGGGCTTTGTTTCGGGTGACTTATACATGTGACGGCATTTATCCTGAGTGGCTCATCTGAGTCCAAGTTGAGTGGGAGTGATTGCTTTCCACTGCAGTCGGTGGATTAAAAACTCCAGAGCAAAGTTGAGTTAAGTAGTGCACCAAACACGCTACCTAGAAATGCACTTGAGTTTGGCTGCACCCCGTTAACCTATGTTTTTAATTTGCCAACTCGATGTCGACACAATAAAGGTCGCGGTGTGGTGGGAGAACATCCTGCACGATTTCGCCTCTGGGGCGACGAGCGAGGGAACGAAGTAGTTTCCAGGTTGTTTCTTACTTGCTTGGTAGCCTTTCAGTTGGCGAGAGTAGGGCGCACTACGTGCAAACATTCGAGCACCAAAGCTCAACGGGACGAGTGGGTTTCGTAAAGAATCAGCGCACGCGCATCCACCATTATGCCTCCTTCCTATACAGGAGTCTCAATGAGAAGCCTCAACTATTCTGAATTAGGTCTTGTTGATTCCATGCCGCTTCCAAAAGTTTTGATGACGTCAACCGGGAGCTGCCTTCCTCCTGGTTCATCCGCATGACAGTAGGTACGGCCCCAATGATCTGACACTGTCTAATAATTCAAGTGATTCGCCTTCTTCCGGGATTATACGATTCCTTTTTTTACTCTAAGGGATCATCGTCGTCGTAATCTTGCTCCATGGCTCCACGTGTTTAAAGCCTCCCCATTCATCATATTTGATGGCTCTAGTACCCTAAGATTCTATAGTTGCAAACCCTGTTACGGCAAACCAGTTAAGTGTCCAGTTGATAAGTGAAGTTGAAATTAGGCCAATTTAGGTGCTGTAAAGTTTTGCTCCATTTCATCAGCCGAACACAGTGTGCCTGAAAAACTTAAAGAGTTGTAATTTCACACAATAAACGATATAGCACA